TAGGAGAAATGATGGTATGGGAAATATGTGGGAGAACTGAAGGATATAGAATATTTACATTATTTTTAAGTTGTTTTCACCTTCAAGATTTTATTTTGTTCATATTTTTCTTCATTTCTTCCTCTCCCTCACACCACCCTTCTTCATCGTTATTTTCTCTTATGTACTACTTCTTATGTATCTTGAACACAAAAAATGGGTTATTATCCAAAATGGTCCTTAAGATTTGCATGATCAATAAAAATGGCCTCTGAGATTGAAAATCAATAGAAATGGTCTCTAAGATTGTCCACCATCCATGACTTTGGTCCTTCTATTAAAAATGATTTTGGACAATTTTCAAAGCTTTATAAGTCAATCGTTTCTGAATCAAATTCGACCCATAATATATCAAAATGAAGATAGAAAAGTGTAAAATAAGACTATACCTATTTGAAAGCCCAATGGTTCTCTTCTTTTCCACCCGTCTGCTCTCTTTTACTCTCTCTTCCAGATTTAGCTTTTTTTCCCCTATTTTGTATCTTTTGGCTGATTTTGTGGGTTAGTGTTGTGGGTCTTGGTGAGTTATTTGGTTTTCTTGCCGTATGAGATTTCTTTTTTTTTTTCTTCGTGGTTTATGTGAGGTTCTCTGATGTGTTTTGATTTTTTATTTCAAAAAAGTTAAGGATAAGATCAAACGTTTACTGGTGAGTTTTCTATTTTTCTAATTGTGTGTGATTTAATTTTTTTTTTCCAAGCTTTGGGTGTACTTTTCTGATCTGCTTTGATTTCTAATTGCAACAAAAGTTGTTGCTCGAATTCCCAGTTTTTCTCTGCGGCCTTGCAAGCTCTTTATCTTCAAGGTATATAAAAATCTAAAAATCTCATTTACCAATATTTAATTTGAGGAATTATTTAATTTACTAATATTTAATTTGAGGAACTATTACTAACACTCTAAAAATCTCATTTTGTACTTCTTATAAGTGTATTTTTTCTTTCTAGGCATAGAAAGTTTGCAGTGGATAATAAGGATTTTGGAGTGTTAATAACAATTTCTTAATTTAATATGTGGTTATTAAGCACCATGGATCATGGATTGCATTAACGATGATTTGTCTAAATTTCGTGTTGATTGATGTATTGCGAGTCAATTTATCGTCCATGAAAGCATTTGTGATCTCTTTTTCCTTCACCATGTGTCTACTCTGGTAAAGTTTTTTTCAAAAATCACTTCCATCATATGCATGCATCGTTTTAATATACTACCTTGTTGATGTTTAACGAAGTATCCAGTTTCCACCTAAAAAAAAAAAAAGTATATCACGCGCCTAGTCCAATCCCATGTTCTGAAGGTATGCTAGCTAACCCCATGAATAAAATTTAAATAACTGAAAACCAAACGAAAAAAAAAAGAAATTTGCCATCGCTCCCCTCCTCCCTAATTCAACCCCATTTTCAATATATACATGCTAGCTCCATGGGGGCTTCGAAAAAGAGCTCTTCATATTTCATTAGCTTTTATGTTTTCTATTTAAGCAAACTTAAGAAATAGTATTAATTTTCAGCACTTGTTCTAATCCTGAGGCCTATAATGCAACTTCTGCTCGACATTATCGTCTGGATAAATAGTAAAGCGTGTGTTGTAAGTTAAGCACCATTCCAAAATTGAGGTTGGACCTACTTTTGATTTTTTTTCTTCTGATAAGTCCCAAGTTGTTCCGTGCCACGCATCAAAGGATATGCAGTGTCTATGATATCTGAGATTGTGGATGCAGAGCTTCCTTTGCAAATTGAATAAGATTTTCAGATGGATTGTTTGTTCTGAACCATAATAATTATTAAATCTTTATATTAAGGGGAATTCATCAAGTTTTGTTCTTAGTCATTCTGCTGCTAGATATTACTGAGGGAAGAATTTATGCAGTGCGACCAAAAGGGTTGAGGTTCTATCCTAAATTCAAATGGATAATGAGAGCATATCTCAACTACTTAGAAATCTATGCAAGGGTCTTTAAGACCATTGATAACCATTTCGATTTTTAGTTTATTAGTTTTCATTTTTGTATATGAGATAAAATGGAAATTCATAGGAGAAATGATGGTATGGGAAATATGTGGGAGAACTGAAGGATATATAATATTTACATTATTTTTAAGTTGTTTTCACTTTCAAGATTTTATTTTGTTCATATTTTTCTTTATTTCTTCCTCTCCCTCACACCACCCTTCTTCATCGTTATTTTCTCTTATGTACTATTCCTTATGTATCTTGAACACAAAAAATGGGTTATTATCCAAAATGGTCCCTGAGATTTGCATGATCAATAAAATGGTGTCTGAGATTGAAAATCAATAGAAATGATTCCTAAGATTGTCCACCATCCATGACTTTGGTCCTTCGATTAAAAACGATTTTGGGCAATTTTCAAAGCTTTGTAACTCAATTGTTTTTAAATCAAATTTGACCCATAATATATCAAAATAAAGATATGAAAGTGTAAAATAAAACTATACTTATTTGAAAGCCCAAGGGTTGTCTTCTTTTCCACCCGTCTGCTCTCTTTTACTCTCTCTCCCAGATTTGGCTTTTTTCCCGTATTTTGTATCTTTTGGCTGATTTTGTGGGTTAGTGCTGTGGGTCTTGGTGAGTTATTTGGTTTTCTTGCCATATGAGATTTCATTTTTTTTTTTCTTCGTGGTTTATGTGAGGTTCTCTGATGTGTTTTGATTTTTGATTTCAGAACAAGTTAAGAATAAAATCAAACGTTTACTAGTGAGTTTTCTATTTTTCTAATTGTGTGTGATTTAATTTTTTTTCCAAGCTTTGGGTGTACTTTTCTGATCTGCTTTGATTTCTAATTGCAACAAAATTTATTGCTCGAATTTCCAGTTTTTCTCTGCGGCCTTGCAAGCTCTTTATCATCAAGGTATATAATTTTTTTTCTTTTTCATGAATCTTTTGTTGGATGGAATCTTTTTTTGTTTTCTTTTCGGAGGGACTATGTTTTGTATGCTTTTTTCTTTTTAAAGAAAAGAAAAACAACAATTATATATATATATATATATATATATTTTTAAATAGTTTTCGGCATCGAATTTTGATTTGTTTGTTTGCAGAGGAAGGAGAATGTGACCCGATTAGCCTCCAAGCTTGCAGTAAACTTTTATATTTGTTCAGGGTTATGAGAATTCTTACAAAAAGAAAACAACTCAGATTATAATTTTCCGTTTAAAACTGTTTTTAAAACAACTGAGGGTAAGGCAAACAAAATATTAAAAAATCTGAGTTAAACCCGGCATCACCTGCTCTGCTTTTATGAGAATTCTTACAAAAAAAAATATTAAAGAAATGTGATAAAGCAACTGATGCTAGGAGTAGATTTTCTGTCCTTTCATTTTTTATGTTTTTTCATACTCTTTTGTTTTGTATAGTGATTGTTAAATTACATTAATAATTTGTATTTTTTTTATAAAAATGATAAAATAAAAAAATAATAATATAAAATATTAATGTATCTTAATTCTGATCACGAATGCAAGGAGGGCAGAGAATCTGTCGACCTGATTGTAAGGCAAAAAAAATCTTAAAAAATTTGAGTTAAATCCGGTGTGCCACGACAAGTCTTTCATTTAGTCCAGAAAAAGATAAAAAAATTGGTGGCAGGACAAAAAAATATTAAAAAAATATGATAAAGCAACTTATGGCAGGAAAAATCGATGGCAGGACAAAAAAAAATTAAAAAATGTGATAAAGCAACTGGTGGTAAGGCAAAAAAAATCTTGTAAAATGTGAGTTAAACCCGGCGTGGCAAGACATGTCTTTCGAAAGGCAAAACAAAAAAATATTAAAAAGTATGAGTTAAACCCAGAGTGATCCGAGGTGGTCCATTACGTGATTTTATATAAATTGTAAGATATATGTGTTAAAAAGTTAATAACTTAAAAATTAAAATTTTTCACCACTTACATAAAAACACGTGGTGTACTATTCATATTCTCGTCACAACTAAAAATTCTCTTTTTCTAGTCCAGAAAAAGATTAAATAATAAAAAAAAATTGGTGACAGGACATTAAAAAATATTAAAAAATGTGATAAAGCATCGTATGTTTGTAAGCCCTTCCCATTTATTTCTCTTTCCTGCAGTTTGCTGTCTTATTTCCCTTTCATTTTGCTTTCGGCTTCTGCTTTTTGTGTATATAAACAATGGACTCTTTAGGATCACTATCAAGGGAGAATACTAGGTTAACCATTTTTGTATACTGATAATAAGACATTTGATAATGTTTTTTCTGTAAATTATATAAATTTAGATAGATTTGTAAAAATATTTGTTCCATTTTATGTTTAGTATTTATAACACTCTTTGCATATTTATATGTTAAAAACATAATCTATAGTCATATTTTCGCTCCCGCAACAACGTGCGGATACAATTTACTAGTGAAAACTAAAAACTAAAAATAAAATAATTATCAACAAGCTATAATTAATTTTGTTATGTAGGACAGTCTTGACATGCATCCTCGCATGTGAAGCTAGTGGGCAAGTAGAATAGAATCACGGAAGGTTTCAGTGGGATTGTTTATCACTTTAGTTTACCAGTTTTTCAAAACCCCTCGCTAGGAAATTGTCGGTAGAGCATTTATCCACGCATCCAAGATCGTTGTCAAGCTGATATGTACCTCTCCCCTGAATTTCATTCTTTCAGGAAAAAAAAATAGAGCCTTTAGTCAGAAGAGAATCTTGATTCTTGGAAATGGGACACTAATAATTAAGAGGTTTAGACTTATATTGTGCCTGATAATAACTATTTTCCTTCCGTTTTGGTGCTATATATCGGAAAGCAACAAATACACAGTACGTTCCAAAGTTGAAATATGGCCTTGCTCCCCAAGTTGCACGGCAGGCCAGCAAGTGACAGGGATGGATCCAAAACACTCTGCTGTGTGCTCACATTGTTTCATTGACAAATTTAGACTTCAAAAATGGTGAAAGGCCTATAAATACCCTAATTCTTTTCACTATATCCGCCACCTAAAAATCCATCTAGGAAGCATATCAATCAGTCACTTCCTAAGGAATATTAGTATTTAGTACAGAAATGGCTTCTTCTAAGGCAGTTGCAACCATTGCTCTTCTCATCTCCCTTAACATAGTGTTTTTCACTACAGTCAGTGCACACCATCATGCTTCTAAATGTCCACCACCACCACCCCCCAAAACCCCTAAATGTCCTCCTGCTGCAAGCCCCCAAAAACCTCCAGCTAAAGCTTCTTGCCCTAAGGACACCCTTAAGCTAGGGGTATGTGCCGACTTGTTAAATGACTTGGTGACCATTGTTGTGGGGACCCCACCAAAGACCCCATGCTGTAGCCTCATTGGTGGACTTGCCGATCTTGAAGCTGCTGTGTGCCTTTGCACTGCAATTAAGGCCAACGTTTTGGGCATCAATCTTGACGTGCCAGTCTCCTTGAGCTTGCTTTTGAATTACTGTGGCAAGTCTGTCCCGGAAGGCTTCCAATGCTCTTAGAGACATGCACGATGATCTTCTCATCTGCATACTACGTAAGTACCTGCCCTTAAACAGCTTTGTGTGAATAAAATAACAAAGGGCACTAGTCTTTGGCTGTATTAATACATTGTGCATGTTTCCTTCAAAGCGTAATTGATATGTAGAGTGTTCCCTCCAAGGAGCATTTTCTTGTGTTTATTGTTTTTCCCTTTGGATTGTGAACTTATTATCTTTTCAGTCCTTGAGCATTGGTGGTTTTTGTATTATTGATTATTCAGTTATATTTCTTCTCATTTTGACAACCAACAACGAAAAAAGTTAATACGGTGCTTGAAATGTAAGATCTAAATTCACATAACAATCTTCAACACTATTCGACAACATAAGTTGGGTGAAAAAGCATTTTCATTTAGCAAATGATATTTGCACACTTTTTTACTCTTGGAGATTTTGCACAAGCACCACCTGAACTTGCAAACATGTGCGTCAATACCACCTCAATTTTCAATTTTTTATTTTTACCACCTAGGCTCTCTTACCTATTGGAATCTACCACCTACGTTACTTTCCATCCAATTTTACGTTAAAATATATCACGTAGCCCTCGCGTGGAGGGGCATTTTTGTCAATTCACTTCTTAGGGCTCGCTGGAATCAATTTGTACAAAGTCAAAAGCATTTTTTAGTGGCGTTGGAGTTAGGTAAGAGAAAGGGAGAAGTTGATTTCGGGTTGGATTTTAGCAAGGGTTGTTGAAGAATTGAAGTGAAAATTATACAAAAATTTAATATTTCATTTACAGTGAACTTTCAACCCTTTTTTGTAGGTTAGCCAGTGAGTGTGGGATTCACCTTAATTTATTCAAATTTAAATTTTTCAAACTAGCCGGTATGAAGAGAATTGCCAAACTAGGGCGATACAAACCCCCAATCAATGCCATATTGACTTAGGCAGTATTATTTTGGAGTCAATTTGATTCTAACCAGCCCATGAAGTTAATTAAAGAAAATATCCCTATAGGTGACATGTTTTAATGACAAAATAAATGGAAACTAACATAGGTGGTATATTCCAACAGTTAAAAGTGTCCAAATGATTAAAAAAAAAAAAATTGAAAATTCATGTGGTAACCACACAAGCTTGCAAGTGATACTTGCGCAAAAACCCGTTATTCTTCACCTCTTTTTATTTCCATCCCTTCATTCTCATTTGCTTTATTCAATCAAAAACTTAAATAAACATAGTGTGCATGAGAAAATTAATGCTGAGTGAAAATCATTTTCTTTCGCTTGTATGCACCCTGGAATTACACAGAAAGCATGAGCCTGCCTTCCGTACATCAGTCATTTTCATTAAAGTTTTGGCTATAGCTAAACCATGCATAATGTAAATTACACACCTAACTGAATCTGGTTTATTCCATGAAACAAATTAACAGAAACTATGAATGAGTACATGTCAAACAGTGATTAATTCAAATCAAGGTTGAGATCGATGAGTTCTATTAAGCACAGACAAAGCCTTGTGGCACGTTTCCGCCACATGCATTAACAAGCAAACTAAAAGCAACAGGAACATTGAGCTTGACTATTCCCAAGACGTTGGCCTTAATTGCAGTGCAGAGGCACAATGCAGCTTCAAGATCTGCGACACCCTTTATTAGGGTACAGCATTCCTTGCTGGGTTTAGTCCCAATAACCTCGGTCACCAAGCCTAACCAACTCCCACAAACACCAAACTTAAGGGTATCTTTGGGGCATTTGGCTTGCTCCTTTGATAGAGGGAGGCGAGGAAGGACTTGCAGGAGGGCATGGAACCTTATGAGAGGAACTGAGGGACGAGAATATGATGTTGAAGAGAATGAAAAGAGCAACGTCCTTGGAACACCTAAAGTCCATTGCTGCTGTCACTACAAATCACAATTTTGAAGGTAACAGTCACCGGGGGCTGAATATTTATAGAAATATGAAATGATCAAATAATTGTTAAGAGAAATGTTACGAAGTTCAGTAGCTACACGCTTGTGTGCATGAATGATTTATGACCATTTATGTAATGTGCGGTTTACGCATCACCGGCTAGAAATCGAGGACTGTCAATAGCACATCTAATTGTTAGGATTAAAGGCTGAAATTGTGCTAGGGTCCATGCGTGGGGCCGAAGTCAGATTTTTTTTGTTCAATTGGGTGGTTGGTATCACTTGCATCCTTTTCATTCGTGGTTGAAAGCGAGCAAAATATGGTACGTTTTGGTTTCTTTTCATTCGTGGTTGAAAGCGAGCAAAATATGGTACGTTTTGGTTTCTATAAGATTGTACTCTAGTGTCCCCAACCTCAAGGTCCTCAACTGGCAAAAGCATTCTAGTGCCAGTGATTATGTTGGTTGTCTAATATGTTCTCTTTCTCTTTAAGTTTGAAACGATTCTAAATTGTAATATTGACGAGTAGCCATTGAATGTCAATGGTACGAAAGAAGTGATGAATCCAAATTGAGTACGTTTATTTGAAAATACACGATATTTTAATTAATGTGATTATCACATACCACTTCTTGCTAATGATGTATATTCATCGTATATATTTCTTAATATATATGTGTTTGATTTGTTGTTCAATTTTGCCGCTTCTTTTTTGCTTTTCTTATTGTTTAGCATGTAATTTGTATAAATAATTAGATAAATTGCCTAAACTACGCCTCCTGCCATCATAAACCTGATGACTTGCGCATGGATTTGCTTCGTCTTATATGGGACTCGGTCCCAACTCGCTTTACACACAGAAGCAGAAACTCAAAGACAACAATTATAATCTAGTATCAAACTCATTATTTACAGAAGTCAAACTTAAGATCTCTTGCTCGCAAATAAAAAAAAAACACCACTAGACAACAATGTTAAGCGACAACCTCGCCAAAACTTTGGAGATCAAAATTATAATTTGGCCAAAGAACTTCATAAACCTTGGTATTATCAACACCATTTAGAGCAATACCTTTGTTCTAATATTTTCTTATTAAAAGAAACCAGGTGATCAATCCGACCAACAAATCACATTATAATCTCAAAATCTGCAAATCAATCAACATTCGAGGCAAGCATTGGATAAGAAGACTTGATTCTAAACCCATCTGTTCAACTATGTAGATAAAAATGATCTGCTCAAAACAGTACCAAATTAATCATCACTAAACTTTTTACATTAGAGTTTAAGCATCCCTAAAACGTTTCCGAAATTGCGGAGCACCACAGTATTCTGCCAGCATCCAACTGATTAATCGACGGTCCAGCTTCCCTATGTTTTGTTGATGAAGTAGCCAACCAAGATGCCTAAAAGACCGAACAGCACCACAAACAACAATGAAAATCCGCCACCGCTGTTTTTACTATTTTCTTTTCTCAACACATCCTGCTCAAGTGAAAATATTTCTCTTATTGCCAAAAGGAAATAAACGAAAACAAACATGAAATATAACCTCCAATAAAGTGGAACGGAAGCATCAAAAACCCAACAATTTAAATACAAACAAGAAAACTAATCATAAAAAGGACATATTTCTCAAGGAATTTTGCTACGACGATCGACAGCTGATGAAGTTAAATGGGGATACATACCAGTAGAACCGTTAGCATAGGGACAATCAAAAGCATGAAGCTTAGATATACGTAAAAAACTAAGTAAGAATTAAACAATACCAGTTCGTGGCGTAGCTTCTGAGTTTGTTGCAAAGCAGCAGTCTTCTCTTCAGTTAACTTGGAAATCATAGGCCATGCCTGAGGAAAAGATATACATAACTTAAGAAACTTAAGCAAGGTAATCCGAAGGCATTATTTGTAATTCTGTATCCGGTGGTCGACATAGAGTAGACCAGTCTATTAGACAATCTCAAGGGATTCTTGCATAATGATGCGGATTGACAGAAGGGTAATTCAATTTGCACACAACTTTGCTCCAAACACCCATTCGATTTCATAATATCACTTTCCGTCTATAAAATTAATTTTTAAGATAAACTAACAGTAATTTACTTTTCTGTCCCTCTCTATCGTCTAATAATTAGAAAAACTAGTATGCAAAGATAAGAAAATTAATATGAATAAGAAACTCTTAATCTAATCTGGATTTGTTAGTCAAAAAACAAATAGAAGCTCCCTAGAAGAATAGTGGTGAGGCGTGGACAAAAGCCTTATGTAGCAATTAAAATGTAAAAATAAACCACATGCACCGTCCTTTTGTTATGAGAAACGCAGATTTTTCACTAACTATATGTCGAGAGTACAAGAAGTAGTGGACAAGCTGTCCACTAGATTGCATACAAGATCCCCTAGCCAAAACAGAAAACAAGGTCCTATAAACCTAAGCAAAATTATTACAAAACAGCTATGCTAATAAAAGTGATCTGAAGAGATTGCTGCCCACCAATCCGCATGAATGAGGAAGAAGGGCTTCTTGTACTTTTATGCACAAGTGGAAGCGAATTCTAGCAAAGTACCAAATATCCACGGACAAAGCACGGCAAAAAAAAAATCACTAAACAAACGGAAGAGTAAAAGAGTTCGAACTCTCATACCCAAGACCAAACAAGTAGAGAACCCAAAACAAACAGTCTCTCCCAAATTGCTCTCTAACAAACTCACAAATTGACTCTCATTGTCAAACGAATAAGCCATGATTTTGCCACACTCATGACTCCAAATGATGACCTCCACCCTAACCAACCAAAAGAGAGAAAACTCTCTACACTAATAGTGACGGCACACAAAATAACCAATGCATAGGACTTAGGTTATAATGAGAATCCTAATCATAATTGGAAGTAAATCCAAATCCTAATCGAATAGGTATTTAACAAAATCTCTCCACCAAGCAAGGAATCCAACCAAGAATTCAAATCCAAACCCAAATAGGACACAACTAACCTAAATAGGACACCAATAAATGGAACTCAGAAACGGCAAGACAAATCTGCCCAGTACCCAACTGGTCGGCTGCACCACCGACCAGTCACCCGATGCTACAACACTTCAAACGTTTCTTTGCTTCTCCCAAGCAATCATCCAATCAGTCGCCACTTCCATATTTATAAGCAACACTAATTTTGAACCATAAATCACAACACTCTCCACCTTGGCAAGAAATTAGCAAACTTCCAAATCATATACAAGCTGGGATAACAAATAAATATGCAAAGTGATCACCAATTTCTTTCAAAACTGATCTCCACAACTCAAAAAATTCAAGAGTCTTCAAAATTTGAAATTTCCTCCAATACCTTCTCCAACAAATTCCATTATGGAAATAACAAATACGAGACAAAATCCAAACAAAGCTTGAACATACTTGTAACAAATACAAGCCAAAAGTGCGAACTAGCACTTCATGAAACTCTCGAACATCAAACTCCACCTTATGACAAAATCAGAGTGAACAAACATTGCCTCAAATACAACCAAAAGATATACAAACTCCCAAAATCATTCCTCCCGTTGAATTATTCAAATATCAAATTTGGCCGACGACACAAAAAGCTTCATCATGACTGGCAAGCAAAGCCCAAGCCGTAACTTGAGTTGTGATAACAATTGTACTTTTATGCGCAAGCAAAAGAGAATTCTAACAAAGTATCAAATATCAATGTTGTAGGCAAAAGTAAAGAAACAAAAAATCTCAAGTAGAACACGGGCGAAGCACGGCAAGGAAATTCACTAACAAATGGAGATTCCAAAGAGTGTTTGAACTCACAACCCAAATCCCACAAATTAAAAACCCTCAGTAGGACACAACTAGCCTAAATAGGACAACAAAAACGAAATGGAAATGCGAGACAAATTTGACTGTACCCGACCGGTTAGCTGCCACCACCAACCGGTCGCCTGATGCTAGAACTCTTCAAACGCTGCTTCTCTGCTTCTCCCAATTCGTAGATCAGCACTTCCAGATTCGTATCCATCACTCTAATTTTGAGTCGTAAATCACGACAGTGCTATATCGTGAAACTCTAAGAAAACTGAAACCCAGAAAGAAGCCCAAAGTTGAACTCTATCCCACAATCCTTCCACTTCCTCCATCCTAACATTTTTTTAAATGCTTTTGTTTCATGCACTGTCATTAAAGTGAAGTTTATGACAGCGGTTCCAATTAAACAAAAAGTGAACTTTACACTAGAGAAAACTAAGCATGGCTCCCTCGCAAGAAAGTCAAGAAAATACTTCCAGACTACCTATTAGTTTCTAAATATTGTTGAATGTTGCTACCACCACCGAAACCATATAAAATGAATCAAAACTTGGAAATCACAATCTTTAACGAATTTTACTAACCTCTATGTACATTGTCATTCAATAGATTCATGAATTTGGTATGTTAGGCATGTTTCAAGACAAACTTAACCACTATGATGTGACTCCAAAATACACACCATTGGTGAATATATTTTAGCAATGACATTCTAGTGTACATTCTTTCAACTGTCTACAGTTGCACGATTTTAGCACCCCATTCATGCAACTTAAATTAAATGCAAGAGAATGAAACATAAGCGACTATAATTATCTCTACTAATTAATAAAACCATTGTCAACCAAAACCCTATGCAATTACCAATTTAACCCTCTAATTAAAACAAAACATGAATAAGAAATATGGGGCAGAAATGTAATTTCACACAACCAAATTTTGCTGTTTTTTTTTCCAAAGCCTCACCTACATGTAATCCTAACATATCTCTAATTTAAAAATAAAAAATAAAAATAAAAACAAAACAAAACAAAAAACAAAAAACGAAAAACAAAAAAAAATAAAAAACAAAAACAAAAAATAAAAAAAACAAAAACAAAAAAACAAAAACAAAAACAAAAACAAAAACAAAAACAAAAACAAAACAAACAAACAAAACTTCCAATCCCACATTCTCTATCACTCTCTTCCTCTCTCCTTCTATTTCAAAAACAAAATAAAAAATTTCTCACACTTTGGGTGTGCCCATATGCTAGTGAAATATAATAGTAAGGACATCTGACCTCTGACGACTTCTCTTTGGTTCCTCAAGAGATCTTGATACCTAATTTTCCATGTAAAATGAAACTTAATGAGTATTCCCAGACATTCAAACAGTTTTCAAACCTCCTTGAAAGCTTGCAAAAGAGAAACTCTTACAGCATCAAACAAGGAAGTGTTTTGATTCCCATTATCAAGCACTGAAGCCTTTGGAGAGGAGCCCTCGTCAGATCCTTCAGGGACTGGTGATGGGGGGTTGGCAGGAAAGTAGATTACCCGCAATTTGAACTCTTCCACAATTTTACCATCCTCCTTGTTGAACTATATACAAATTCGCAAAATGATTAAAGTGAATAAAATAAAACCCAAAACAGAACCTCTATATAAAATGTGTTAGCAGCATCATCCAACCATTTCAGGAGTTATGTCTTTCGTAGTTGCACCTTCTGGTGCAACAACACTTTGAAGGAGAAATTTGTCCTTGCACTGCATGTCTGGCGGGGCCTCCTTTTGGGCTTGCATTGTAACTACAAAAGTCAAATTTAAATCAGGAAACCATTACGATAAAGAATTAATAGGTCTAATGATTTATATAAAAGTATCAACGCTTTCCCCAAAAAAAACTAAGGAACCTACCCAAGGAAAATATAGAAAATTTGAGAAAAATAATTGAGCGTAATGTTAACAACTAAAACGATGAAAACAACGAAATGAATACAATTGAGAACAAGTACTCAGAGTTTAACTTTGAACCATGAAATAAAAGATTAAGATATCAGAAAAGCTAAAGAACCAAATACTCTTAAAATCAATTGAATGTGTTCACCTGTAACATCACATGTTGTTCCGGGTAAGACAACACCAGCATTGGGCCGGACGCAGTACTTTTTCGGATTGGTTGTTTTAACCTATTCAATCACAATATCCAAACACTAAACATTTCAAGTCCATACCTCATATGTTCAGACCAATCCAATATCATAATTTAAGGGGAACCGAAAAATTACCTTGAAGGCCACATAATTAGTTGTTTTGTTGGTCAATTGCAAGGAACATGAACTCTGTTTCTTCACTTCAACTTTTACACCACAAGAAAACAAACCCACCAAATAAAATTAACAAAATTGGACAATTTTCCCAATACAAATATCAATGTTAACATCCCATTTGAATCAAATCGATCCCTAAACATAATAAGTAAGCATCACTAAGCTAAATCAAAGTCAGTTTCTAATTTTCTGGTAATCAAAAGATTAAAATCGTAATTATATGCACAATTAAACCCATCCTTATAATTATTTTGCAGAATGTAAAATGCATCATTCCAATTCCAGTAAAACCCAACACGGAATTCCAAATTACTGTTTTCCCTCAATTTTCCGAGATTTTCTTGCTAGCCAAACAGGAAAGAAAAAAAAAACGAAAGAAAAGAAAAGAAAAGAAAGAAACTTACATGGGAATTTGAGCTCTAAAGGCTGAATGCTAAGAAGATCTCCAGTACTCATTGCCTGGATATTTCAAACTAAAAACGAATTAAAAAATTAGGGGTTTGTGAAATTATATGATCCGAGCAAGGAGGAGGAAAGAGAGATGGGAAGAAGAAATAGCACAAGAAAACAGTTTCCGTGATTCAAAAAATATGGAGAGAAACAGTTTCTGTGATAATCTTATACCGTCGATCTGAAAGAGTATATCCAACGGTGGATAGGGTGCCTGTGACGTTCAATTGCTGACTTTAGGATTTAGAATTTTTAATTAAATTTCTGCTTTTCCGTTCCATCCTTTCAGGCCTGATTGGTGAGAGCTGGAATGGCAAATGTGCCCTTCTAAATTTAAGCTCTTATCATGTTTTTGATGTTTGCATGAATTTATTCTGAAGGGCGTTTTTGGCCTGAAAGAAATTTGGCAGGAGGTAATTATTACTTATTTGTAATAAACAATATAAAAAGGGCAATGAAGTACAAGTAAAGCTATAACAAAGAACGTACAATATGAAAAGCCCAAAAGTAGTCGGCCCACAACAAGTAAAACCTAGATCTGAGAGATTGTTTGCCTCCACCAAATACATGTGGTCTGGCAAACGGGTCGTGTCTGTTGTGTTTGTATCGTTTTCGTGTAACACCTGTTATTTTAACAGGTCGTATTGTGTCACACCCGTTATGATTTGCTATGACCCGTTAAGAAAAATGTATTTTTTTCCTTAAATTTTCACATACCATACATTGCCACATAAATATTACTTCAAAACATTAAAACACATTTATCGTTTAAGTAGTACATCTACACTTGAAAATAAGAGCTAATAAACAGACATCATACACTACTAGTCTATTACAAAATATTAAATGTGCAAGAATATGCAAAATGAAAGAATTTTTGTTTTCAAGGTTGTCAAGCCTTTCTCAAAAGTTTAAACCTTACCAATGGAACTCAAAGCTTGCATATTATTCCTTTTACAAAATCCTCAATTTTCATCAATCATCATGACATAAGATTTTGTGGTATCCACTAGTGTAAATATTTTAAATTGAAGATCGAATTCATTCATTGTATTCATATAGGGTCAAGGAGTGTACATATAAAAAATCATCAAAATCGAAGTTAAAATAACTGTTAAATCGTGATTTTTTGTTGAAAACCATTGAAAAGTTTTGTCTCGTTACTTGATATCTGAATGTTTGTTTTTTACGATTTTTGGTGTATGTGATCTTGAAGCATATACAAATAAGTTTGATGGTTGAATCGTTGAAATTATTTTCGTAAAATGCGTATCTCATCAAAATGATAAATTCACACGAAATTCAAGGACTAAAATTAATAGAACTTTAGTTTACAAGCGAAATCTAAACTAAAATGAAAGTTTATTGATCAAATTTAAATTTTACTCTCATTTATTTAGTACTTTAAACAAAGTTTGGGTATTTAAATTCTATTACTATTCTTTGAATCCAGTTTCTTACTACAAGGAAGAGGAGGCCCAAACACACAAACAACCCTGGGCCTAGATACATCTTCTTCTTCTTCTTTTTTTTTTTATTTTCTTTTTTTTTGGTGTTGACCAATTGGGCCTATAGATAAATCATTCCAAAGGAAATCAATTCTAAATCGTACCTACCCCGAGCTTTCCTTAAAGCCTTACAGGAAATCAATTGACTAATTTAAAAAAGTACTTCATTAATTTACCAAAAAAATAGTTGAGGTGGTCAAATTAAACTAGGTTGTTCGTTAAGGGGGTCAAATGACAATTTACCCTTATTAATTACATGCACACATGATTTTACACTTTCACATTCCAACTACAAGCATGTTTAACATCAGCCAAAATTCTATGACGAATGCTAACCACCTTTCCCATTTGCCTTTTCTTATTTACTGTTGTCATTCATTGTGTGTCATGTGGCTTCCATTGTATTAATTAGCTTAAAAATTAACAACTCTTTTTCCATTCATACCCATCATAAGTCAAGTATTGTTGCAGTCCTATTAGATTATGAATGTGATTGTGTAAATCCTAACATATCTAGGATATCCTTATGGGATTCTACCGTATTTCTTAGACTAGATATTATCGTATTAGAGTTGTAATCCTATTAGAATAAGGAATTAACCTTCCCTACTACTATAAATAAAGGCACAATGGAGTGGAATAAAACACACCTCATAATTACACATCTCTCTCTTCTCTCTCTATGTGTCGGACCTCTTCTTTCTCTAGCCTCCATAATTGTTTAATGAATTATGCATACAACACGTTATCAGCACGCTCTTGATGCTGCTCTAAAGAGAGTCTGATCTTCAATCAGGGGAGTATTACGTTTTAGTCATTCTTTTTATGATTAATTTATTATTTTATTGAATTGATCTACATGCTATTGATTCAATTTAATTTTTTTGTGTTGAACATGGTACAATGCATTGGAGATGCAATTCCGGCTTTCCAATAATGATCTTCTACAAATTCATAGGCTTTTGTTGTTTTCTGCCAATCAAGTACGCTTAAAATAAATGAAGATATTTGAAACAACCATGAAGCATGAAAACATTCACCATAATGCATGAAACCCCTACATTGATATTTACCTTCTGACATATATATTGTATATGTTTCATATATTTGTCAATACACACACACACACACACACACATTCATGCACTACACAATTATAAATCGTTATGTGGAATTTGTGAGTCAAAGAATTGTAATAAAATAGAAGCACGATTATTTTTGGGATCTGAAAACCCTAGAAATCGAAAAAAAAAAAAATCGCTCTCGAACTAAGCCGCAGAGCTGAGATAAGCTGGCTCTGTCCCAAAACCAGACTCACAGAACCACTATGGTTTGAACGACGCCATTTTTTGGTGCTTTGTGACCTGCAGAGCTGAGATTCACCATATTTTTTTGTGGCAACCTTGAATTCGACCATTGTTTTGGTCGTCGCAACTACGAGGCAGATCGTTTCTACGATTTCCCTGCATCCCATCAATGCTCAATGGATCCCAGCATATACCTGTAAAAGGGTTGGGTTTATCAGGTTTGGATCTGGTTGAACCCTGACCCGTTAAGCTAACGGGTCACCCAACCCGAACTAAACCCGTTTCACCCGTTAACATTTTTTTTTTTTTGGATGAACATGTAAAGCAACTAATCATTTGTCTGTTAATCAAGTACAGATGCAGAGATTGTAGACTTCAGTTTCAAGGTTCTTGTAACATTTTCCTCACCACATTCCACTAAGACAAAAGTAATGCAATAATGCATACATTCCACCAAGACACTAATAGGACTAACTAACGGAATAGGATGTCCTCATAATAACCCAACCCAATAAAAATAGACAAGGAGCTTCCTTGTCGGTTCTATTAGTGGCTTTGAAGACTACTTGGGAGGTCTAGGTCGAGGAGGAAGTCGCACACGAACAAGTGTCATGTTACGCCCATGTGCTTTCACCCTCATGTCTCACATCTCTCATCAGACAACCTTCACCTCATCTTTCACCCTGCTTGACGTGCAAACCAATGATAATGATCTGCTTGGTTAAGTACGGGTTCTCGCCACCCGCGACCACCTCTAGGAAGCACTCTCAATCTTCTACTCCCTTCATCCCTCACCATTTCACTGCCCCCAAACCTACGCCACTCTCTTCCATACCTGTGCCTGCCACCGCCACCTCCAAGATAACCTCTCTTTGCACCGTTACATGATCGCCCACAACCCCATCCACCCACCCGACCTCTTTGTCACTAACCACCTCATCAATATGTATGCCAAATTTGGTCACTTGGACTACGCTCACCAACTGTTTGATAGAATGCCTACCAGAAACATTGTCTCTTGGACTGCTCTTCTTTCTGGGTGCATCCTCGACTAACGGGTGCTAATAGGTGCTAATGGGTCTAACAGGTTGACCTAAAGTGACCCGTTAGCGACCTGACCCATTAAGCATTCACCCAAATACTAATATTAACTGGTCGGGTCGGGTCGGGTCTAAAATGCCAGATCTATCCCAGCACCCATTTTTACTAGTATACACACCCAGGCCTGTACGAACTATCACCTCGACCTCTCTCGGCTGAATCCGAGATAGAGATAACGGTTTGCAGTTATTGATTCAACCCTCCATCGTGCAGCCACCATCATTGGCGTCCTAAAACTCAGTGGACAATGAACATCTTTTGGCAACTCCTTGCTGAACAGTCTTATGCCCGGCATAATTTGGACATGTGCCCACACCAGTTCACGCTGGTTAGACAACTAGCAGCATGGGCTGCTTCTTTTCACGGACCAAGTCCAATTAGGTTTCCCTTTTGATTTGGCCCACAACTCAATCTATTGTATTAATTTAAAGTGACCACCGGTCCATTAATCTAAAAAGAAATCCAAAATTATTATCATGAAGCTCACTTTTGGACATTAACAATTCAATATTTTAATTCTCTTCTTTGAACAATTAGCATCCTTTTGTAGTCCTGAAGCGCTCACATTTGAGTTCCCGAAGCAACTGAAATCCACTACATTTAAATTAGCATGTTGTATTCTGTGTTCTTGCAGGAACCTCTCTTTTATGAACAAAATGTCAATAAACTAAATTGAACCTGTAGTTTCAAATTTAGTGCCTTTGAACCTGAAGTTTTCATAAAACAATACACCCATGAAAACCTGAATCTTTCACCATGTCTTAGAACTCAAATGTTCTGATTTTGATGCTCATATTTTCCTGATTTGGACTTTTCTAATAGAAACTACTTTATGTAGGGTACAAGACGTGAATCTCCACTTGACTATCAAGTAGCTGAGAAACCATTGTAGCCAACAATGGCATGGAAAAGCTGAATAAGCCTTCGCCATGATCTTTATTCGACGACTTATGCCTGAAGCATTACTTACGGAAGTACTCTCGAACAGGGATTCCATGGCTCTTTGGCTTGCTCCTATGGACCGTTTAATCATGAAAGACATTGCCTGAACCACACCGTGATTACGTCCATGAATGAGTACAATTCTAAAGTTTATAAATCCGATCGAATTTTGACTGGAGAATATTTTTCTCGTCCTTCCTTGTTTCTAACTCATTCCTGAAACAGCAGTGTAGAAAGTAGAAGTTTACCAAATTCTTAGATCTGATTACTACGATAAAC